GATGATGTCAGAGGATTGTGGACCGGGAAGGATGCGCGTTATCGACGTCTGCACGTGCGCCCGCAACGGCGGCAGGTATTCCGCAATTAAGTATCTCTATCTCTCTCTTTCTCCCTCTTTCACTCTTTCTCTCTTTCTCTCACACACCTATACATATATATATACTATAGTACTTACTTACATGCACGACGTTCTCGAGATAGCACGTGCATCGTAATACACACAACTTGCTACGAAACATCTTTCTAAACGCCACTGTGAGAGAAAACATATTTTAAAAAATAAATATTTATAGATGTGATTAAGAAAAAGAATGATTACAAAATAAAAACGAAGTAGAAACAAAAATTATAAGATACGTTAAAATATTTCATTAGAATGAACCTTTAAATATGTTCGCGAATTTGTTTTCACTCGAGTATTTAAAGTAATTTTTAATTGATTTACAAATCGAGAAAAAAGAAAATATTGCACTGAGATGAAAGAACATAACAAGCCCCCACGTACTTTTGATTTACTCCTATTAAAAGAGTGGGGGGTTGGGGGAATGGGGAAAAGAGGGTGCAAGAAAAGGAAACGAACGAAGAATGAAAGGGGGGAAAACAAGAAAGGAAAGAGAAGGAAAAAAAAAATCAAAATGAAAAGAAACATACCTATGGTTTGAATCTTGATCACGATGTTAAAAACAAGATTATTATTGCGTCGTTCCTCCTCCTTTGGCGGAACGGTTTCTACACGTGGTCGAGATAAATGATAACCGCTTTAAATACCAGTTTAGCGCGTGTCCCGATCACCATCCTTCTCTTTCTAGCACATTCCTTGTCTCTTTTACGCCTTCCGAAGATTCTTACGTGTCGTTATATTACTTCGTTATACTCTATAGAAAGAAAGGAAGAGAGAGAGAGAGAGAGAGATTGTGTAAGGAAGAGGAGGGGGAGGAGGAGGAGGAGGCAGGTGCAAACGATTAATAATAATCGATCGAGTCTACACGGATCGGTGGTTTAAAGATATTCACGATTTTGAAAAACTCCCGCGCAAAAGATAAATGTATATATATTTATAATAGTGAGAATGAGTGAGTGAGTGAGAGAGAGAGATGGGATGGGGGGTTAGGAGAAATAAATAAAAAATAAAAAAAGAAAGGAGAAAGATAGGTACGTAATTTCTTGAAATGACTTGCATCTAAGTTTTTCATGCTCCTCCTCATCATTCTCATCCTCGAGTTCTCTCAGCTTCATCCATCCTCTTCTCTCAGTTAGTGTTCATCTCTTAACCTCTCCTTCTGCTCTGCTTTTGAACGAAGAAGAGGGGCGTGTAGATCGACTTCAGAACAGGATGTAGATATTCTTAATCGCGTTAACGGTTCGTTCGGGATCCCTTTATGGTCATTAGTCCGGTTTTATACTTACTAATATTATCCTCTCGATGACTCTTTATGCATTTTCCGTTCATCTTTAAATAAGAAAGAGAAAGAAAGATAGAAACGTATTTACTTACTTATGTGTTATTTTTTATTTTTTTTATTATTATTTATATATATATATATAATTCTTTAATTATATTTTTTATTTAATGTTTGGTATACGTTTTTTATTATCTTCGGATTAATGTTTTTATTACGAATTATAGAATTGATTGTGTATTTTTTGTTAATGAACATTTTGCATAACAATTTGAGAAAATTTGTCAGGAAAGAAAAATTACGAGATATATAAATAATTATTCTTGAGAGATAAATTTGTATTTTTTCCACTAAGATCAAAAATGACGTTTATGAAGAAGAAACGAAAATTATGACGATGGGGATTAATTTCATTTCATTTAAATATCATCGCGTCTTGTGGATTATGTTTGCCGGACATGTTTGAAATATATGTATCATATATATATATATATGAAAAATTGAAATATTCTGAT